ATAAGCCCAGCCACTTATTAAGCCCAATTTGGTCTGGGCCCGAGGTGGGCTTCTGGTGGCTTCTGTCTTTTACCTTCCACCTGGGATTCGACCTGATGATTGTAGTGCCCTAGGCATAACCAATGTTTAGAAGCTACAAGTCCATCGACCCAGCACATATCGGCGCAGTTTCCGTATTTACTCCACGTTTTCCTTCGTTACAATACCTTAACCATTAATAAACTATCCTGCTGAATCTAACATGCATCCTAGAATGACACTTTTTCGACGAACAGCAAAGCACCTTCGTTCCTCTGGCCCGATACTTGACACCCGGTTGTCAATCATCACTAGCGGGGCCTTCTTTGGACATTCGCAAATGAACTGGTTCCACAGTCCCGCTCATCGTTGGCTTTATCATCAAATCAACAGGGCATAGTTCAGCAGGGGTAGGCATTCCCGGTCGTTAAAGTAGGACGAGAGAAGGCGAAATGTCTTAGTTCAAAAATTAACGAAATAATTAGGAGATAAGGGGACTTACCAGAGCTCTGGAATTGACGTCGCAGTTATTTTCAAGAAGAACCTGGGCCACTGATACGTGTCCGCAGTGAGCAGCAATGTGAATCGGCCTGAGATAATCCTGTGCATAAAACGCAGACAAAATGTGGGGTCAGTCTCGTGAAACTTGAAGGTGTTATGTCATTGGAAACTTAAAAAATTAAGAGAGGACTAAAGTAGCCGCTGCGCCCAACGACGGAGTTTATCTCCCGACGACCACAACTGCAAGGTGACTACCACCCGACTGAAAATCCAGCGTATTACTTGCTTAAGATGGCCCAAGTTAGAGGCTTCAAAGGGTAAATTCCACCACATACCATACAATCATCGAATCTGCAATTCGAACAAATGTCTTCGAAGTAATTACCTGTGAAGCTAACCATTTGGAATGGTCCTTATTCACTTGCCTGAATGTCTTAAGTGATGTTAGAAACACACCGTGAGATCCGAGTCAGGAATGGCGGCACGCTTAATGGCGGCCCGCCCGGTTCGACCACTTGCGCCCTCTTCCG